GTGATAGCGCGCGCATCCGCGATGACGATTACCTGGGTCATCGCTGGCTACTGTGATCAATGCCGCCTGGCCATATATCACCGCAGTGCGCACTGCGCAAGGGGGCCCCAGCGTCGCGGCCTCAAGAAGCTTGCGATCACGCTGAAGTTCTTTATACGAGGCTTCGAAGACATAAATCTAAAGTCGGCATCAGGTTCTTCTGGAATCGCGGGGGGGGGGGGGGGCGCCCTGTCGGCGGGGGCGCTTCGCCCTCGGGCGTTAGCGCCGGCTGCGAGGCGCCGCGCGGTGCAGGGCCGCCTGCCTTTTCTTCAAATCCCGAGGCGTCCTCATCGAAGTCGGCCTGGGGCACATATGCTTTCGGGCACTGAATTGCCCGTGCGTGCGTAGACCCAACAATCGCGCGTGCATCGAAGGCTGCGCCGTAAAACTCGCAGTAGCGGAACCCCGGTCCAGACTCGTTGTCATAGTAGACCAGGGTGCAGCTGTCAACATCAGTGGCCGCTGGTAATCGGTGGATACTCTTAGCGAGATGAACTGTGACCGCTTTCTCGACCCGAAAGAAATTTCGGATCAAGCATCGTAGTGCAAGCTGCACGTTGGGCGGTCGTTTGCTGGGTGTGGTCACGTGTAAATTCCCTCGCTTAGTTTGTGACAATCCAAACGTCATCGCAGGCCCCCCCTGCAGGTAGACTTGCGACAAATGCAAGCACCGTTCGAAGTGCTGCGTTGTCCGAGCCAAGAAGTTCTCGGACCCGCACCACCTCGACATAATGTGTGTGTCTTAGGTCTGGGTATTGAACGACAACTTCGCGCTTGCCGACCCGCGCTGTTGCTTGGCCCCTTTTTCAGCGTCGTTGCGAGCAACTGAGCATGGGCCGTTCCGCCCACCCTAGTCGTCCTTCGCTGCGGTGGGTCGGTCGTAGTCTACCAGATCCCCGTCGCGATAGAAAATCTGGCCTGAGTCGCAAAGGCCGCGTAGCCCCCCCTTCCTTTCCCATTCGAGTCGCACTGGCCCTGGAAATGTTTGTCGCTATCGCATCGGTTGCGCAACATCCTTTCCTCGTTTTGGTCCACGGGGCTGAGTGTCCTGTCTTTCCCCTTTGCCGTCGAATGGCGTCGGCCTCGACCCTTGGCCTGGATAACTGCTTCAAACTCAACTTCGCATTTTCCGTGCGCCCGTCGGTTGCGACGACCGCCCTTTCCACGATGCTTCCCCTGTCGGCGACGTGCTTTCCGCAGTGCCCTGCGCGCGTGCCGACTTTTTACACGCGCCGCCTCCAGCTGCGTTTCGCGCGTTGGTAGCCCAGGGATATATATCCAGCGGTTTCCGCATCGCCGGCGCGCCGGGGCAAGCCTGGCACATCTACCCGTTCAGTTCCATTGGATGATAGCGCGCCAGTATCTGCCCCAGAGCGACGGGCGAACCTCCATGGAAAGTTTGGTCCCAAAGGGCAGTCTGGCTCTCATGGGGCCGCGTGCGATTGATGGTTAAAAGGCTGTCCCCAGCCGTGTTGTGCTGACGGCGTTGAATAGCATCCGCCAGTTCCTGGGCCCTGAGGGGGCGTCGCGAGGAGTGCAAGAGTCTCCTCTGAATTTGAATCGTCGGCCCACGCGCCGCTGGGCGCGGCCGCGTCTCCGCCGGCATTTGCCCCGCATATATCAGCGTTTCCGCGCCCTGTGCATCCCGGCAACACGTTTCCGATGTTGCCAGGGGCACGTTCCGCCAGGTGCCCAATGCTGCGCCTCCGGTCCAATAGTGAATCGTCTTGTCGTTGGGTCCGCGGCATCAGACCGCTGAAACGCTGAAGCACCTGCGCAGCCCTGCCAGGGCCAAACCTTAGGGTTCTAGAAATCACTGCTGCGTGCACTTGAAAGTTCGGGATGGCAAAGCCATCTAAATCAGCCCGCCCCAAGACGGACCACCTCGAACCTAGCGAAGAGAGAATCCGTTCTCTCGCCAGGCTCGGGCTTGAAGTCTACGAGCGCCGTTCCTGAGGTGAGCTGTCGCTCATCCCCAAGTTTCTCGAATATGGCGCTCAAGAGAAACATTATGTAAATGTCGGGGTCCGCGTGGGCGCCTTGCGTCGCCGCGCCGTAATTCATGATCTGGGGAGGGATTCGCATCGCAATGGCGCGTGCTACCCCGCCCAGACCGCGCAGCAGGCATGCAACGTGTTGTTGTGGGGTCACGCGGGCGCTCGTGGCATCCAGCCACGCATGTACTTCACGAGTAAACTCCAGGAGCGGTGCGTTCCCTGCGGGGTCCCAGTATGGGACCCTTGTCGTATGGTCGCCTCCATCATGTTGGTAAACGCGTTGCGTGCACCCTATAGCACGCCCAATGGCTAGCCAAAAAAAACGCTGAAAGTACTATGCACCAAATAGGAATTCCACTCGACGTCTTGGACGTCGTTGTTGGTGGTTTCCGGTGTCTGTCACAGTTCGGCGGCGGATTGGCTGCGGAGGTGCCCCCATGGTAGTTCAAGAATATGGGGTTCGCGCTTCCGCGCAGGGGGGATTAATACCTTGACTTGTTTCCAAGAGCGTCGTAAGTTTGAGTACAGTGGCGTACATCCGAAGCATATGCGTTTGTCGGAATGGTCTGACGGATGTCGCCCGTAGTGGATATGGCGTGTCCGCTAAGGGCTCTTCCGCCTGCTTGCCAACAGCCACGCTCTGACGTCGCAGCGGTGTCGGCGGCATACCATGCCGTGCCGCGGATAAATAGTGCGAGAGGTCGAGCTGACCACAACTTAGTGTGTCAGCTCCGCTACCAAGTAAACAGCACGGTGGGCACCATATAGTAGCAGAGGTTTGGGATATGGTGTAAGGCGGTGTAAATCCAGAAGACTGATCGGTCTTGTTTTAGGTACGATAGTGGGCCGCAATATCCTCGAACGGTCCAGGTAAATAGGGCGCCGACACCTTGAGCCAGACGCCAGCGGCACGCTCGCTATGCTCGGTATACATCAAAGTGAATGGGCAAAACGGTCCTTCATTGTCCCTGGGTGCGTGGCTGAATAGGGAAATGGTGGTGAAAATTATGTTTGTTGCGTTGTTGTTGTTGGTGCTGTTGTCGTCGTCGTCCCACCCGTGACCCACCCGCGACCCACCCCGCGACCCACCCCGCGACCCACCCCGCGACCCAACCCGCGACCCACCCCACGACCCACCCGCGACCCAACCCGCGACCCACCCGCGACCCACCCCGCGACCCACCCGCGACCCACTCGCGACCCACCCGCGACCCACCCCGCGACCCACCCGCGACCCACCCCGCAACCCACCCGCGACCCACCCGCGACCCACCCGCGACCGACGCCGCGACCCACCCGCGAACCACCCCCGCGACCCACCCTCAAAGGAGGAGAAATTACCCGGACCCGACAATTGACGTTCACTAAACTGCCATGGGCGTTTACCCGACAACCCTGCCCTGTTCGATTCATTTTTTGTGTGCGTTTACAATACGGCGTCGCTTGTCGGGGTGATTATTATGGGGTGGATTTTCGGTCCTTTACACCCGCGACCCACCTGCGACCCATTTGCGACCCACCCGCGACCTACCCACATTGGCTCGTTGCATAATGCGGGAAACGTTGGCGCCTGCAGTGGGCTTCTCCAGAGTCTCGCAAACTGCCTACTACATCCCCACCGCCCCCTCACACTTCTCCGCATCTGCGGGGTGCTACGTACATCCTCTGGACCCCCTATTGCAGAGTGGAACTAGTTCCAACACTATCACGCTTCAAGTAAGTGTGAGACACCGGTTCCAGTACAGCCGGACCTAGGACAGAAGAACAGCCTCCTAGAACATGAGAGCCTCCGCCGGCGAAAACACAAAGAACATCGAAGCGTACCCTCCCCAGGATGCCCAAGAACATCAAACAAGCACGAAAAACATTTGGATACCCTCCCCGAACCGACCTCGATCCTATACCTCGGTCCGACTGTACCCCTAGTGGTAGGCCGCAGCCATAGCAGTCAGCAGCTGTCTGGCGAGAGTGCCCATGCACCGCGGCCCCGCCGCGGTTCCAGCTCGAGAGCTGGAGGCTGTGGAAACAATACAAGCATTCGGCCTCTCATCCCCCCTCGTTTGGCATTCAACTTCAAATAGAAACGACCACCATCATCCTCATCTTCCTCCTCGTCGTCGTCGTCGACACCGCCGTCATCATCGTCGTCGTCGTCATCGTCATCGTCGATGTCGTCGCGTTCGTCCAAGTGCTGCGCGCGCACTTCCTCATCATCCCCACCAGCACCATCGTCATCATCATTGCCAGCGTCATCGCGCAATTGACATCGTCATCAGCTTCACCACCATCACTATCGTCGCGGACATCGTCCACATCGTCGTCATGAACATCACCAGCGTCATCGGCATCGTCGCCGTCGCCACCGAGCTGAGTGTTGTCAACTTTTTGCAGGTAGGTTGTTGGGATGCTTGCACTAGAAATTGAACTCACGACTTCAATACTGACAAGTGGAATTCACCGCAATTCGAATGAACCCCAAACGGGGCCACTCTGGGGGGCACACGTGCCTGGCATTTGTTTCATCTTTCTGTTTTAAACAACGACAGCCATGGTGTCTCAAAAACTGGTGGAAGCTGTGAACCTGCCGGAGTTGGCCCACGTCGCCCCGCGCTCTCAGGCGAGAGAGTGACTCGGACATGCAGGTCACGACCAGCCCAAGGATTTCCGAGGCAGGCGGCGAGCCCAAAGGCTGTGTGGGGGGCACCGCGGCCCTGTCCGGAGTGCTCTGGAGCGCCGTGAGGCCAGACCCTGGACGTCGTGCTTTGTCATGCGTGGACGCCCGCATTTCCATGCGTGGACACCCTGGAACTGGTCTCTATTTCTGAGTCGTTTCGTGACGGTCCCGGGGCCTTGCGAAGGCCCCAAGAGCCAGAACATGACAAGACACCCTTCGCCGTGATTGTTTTATGACCCGAGGTGGTCTGCGAAGATCTCTGGAACGAGCCGTTCGCACCGCAAGGCTGCCTGGCACTCGTCGATGGCGGCCCGCAGCTCCTCCATCTGTGCCCGCCTCACCTCGCCCGCGCTGCCGCCCCTCGCAGAAGCCGCCGCCGCGTCTCCGCGGGAGATGGCGGCGGCCTTGCTCTCGGGGGGCTCTCCCTCCCGCTCCCTCGGCGGTTCAAAGATGGGGCCCTGAGGGATGGGGCCCAACGGAGAGGAAGTGGATCACAAGCTCAACAGTCACTGTTTGAGGTTCTCGGCCTCAGGGCCCCATGCCTCAGGGCCGCGCCGCAGAACCGCCGGTACACGCCCTTGCCCTTCGCACAAAAAAAAACATGGCCTGCCTTGGATGCTTCTGCGCGTGGCCTCGGGCGCACGAGAGCCTGTCGTGACCGGGGCTTTGACTCTTCGTCTTTCCCCCGGCGGTCCTTGCGCTCCTCCTCCAGCAGGACCCTCCTGCCCTCCTCGAGCTCTCTGGGCTCTAGCCTGGCCGCCTCTGCCACCCCCAGGGCCGCCCGCAGCGCGCCAGCCTCGCGGCGGTCCGTCGCATCCTTGAGCCTGGCGCGCACGGGGCCGGCAAGCAGCTCGCGCGGCAACGGGCTGCCCTAGCATGTCGCGGCGGTGGCCCCGGCGACACGCTGTGCCTCGCAAGCGGGTGGCGTGTCGCTCCGCTCCGGGGGGCAGGAGGCCGGGAAAAGCTCGGCACGTTAACGCCTGGGGACTGGGAAGCCACAGCCGTACAGAATAGGCACTTGCTCTTTTGTGCCTACCCGCCATGCTAAAATTTACTTGGCCAGCCTCAGCATACAGGCCAGCCGAGCAATAGACTACACACCTGCACAGCGATCTCTCCCCCGTGGCCCTCCCCATCGCTGGTGCGCAATACACCTCCTTTTTTACCGCTTCGGCTTAACAGCCAGGTGGCATCTCCCCCTTCATTACAGGCTGAAGCTCATTATGACCTGAAGGACACCGAAGGTGCCGTCCCCCTTTACAGCCGCACATTGTGCGGATCTAGCGGCACACCCTTGCTAAAGTTCGAGGACACCTGATACAGGCTACACTCCACACCGAGCGCCCAACGGGCACCTGGGTCCCCAGCAGGGGATACGCGCGGACCTCTTGGATAATATGGGTTCGTGCTCAGCCCGTAAAAAATGCACAAGGTACGAGGGTTTTGGTACCAAAGTGGTTCGGGGTAAACCCAAAAATCCCGGGCGGCAGCACAAGAACTGCCACATATAGCTTTTTTCTTTCTCGGACTTGATGCCTGCCCACCTCGGCAGCTCACTGGCAGTGGCGGTATATGACTTGTGGGGGTAGTGGGAAAGATTGAGGGGGTGGGGGGGAGGATCACATACAAGGGTCGGGGTCAACCAGAAACCCCTGCCCACTGGGCTCTGTTTTTCTCGGCCAGTACACAGCGCTGCCTTACTGCTCCAGCTATGCCACACATCGCTGCCTCACTGCCCTTAATTGCTACGGTTCGGGGTCAACCATAAAACCCTGTCGCTCTGTCACTCTCTCCTTGGTGATCCTCCTCACTTATGTTACGTTGGTGCACCTTCCTTCCACTTCAGGTCAAGGGTCAACAAAAAACACTGCCCGCAGATCGGGCAATTCGTTTGGCAACTTTGTGTTAATTGACGCACACGCGAACAATCTGCCCACGTGTATGCCAGGATGCAGACGCTCAGCAACACTTTCCCGTGCAACAATACACTCTGTCCGCAGCGTGTACCAACATTACGGAAGGATGGAACTGGATTGCTTAATTTGGTGGGGGAGGTGGGCCTTACCGTCAAGGGGCACATGCTGCATATTCTAGCCGCAGCACTTTGCTTGGCACAACTATCGAGACTGTTGCCGACACTGCGTCACTCTGCGCATTCGATGTGCTGCTTCCCATCCGAGGAGGCACTATCAATGGATACATTTGGGGATTGGTCTGTTTACTCAGGGGGGGGACCTGCTTACTCAGGTTGGTGCCAACCTCGAGGACCTGGCGGGCGCCTACTCGTTTTACGTTTCTCGGCCCATCTCTATGTTGTTAATTTTCCGCGGCGCCCGCCAGTTGCACCTTGACCAGAGTCGTGCTCTATTGCTTCTGCTGTCTGCATTTCAAGAACGCCACAAAGAAACCTTAGGTCGGTCTAACGTAAAAAGGAGAAAGAGGGAGGAAGAGGAGGAGGATGAGGAGGAGGAGGAGGAGGAGGAAGAGGACGAGGGAGGAGAAGGAAACGGAGGAAAAGGAGTGGACCGTAGGGAGGCGGCGCGGGTCCCCGCCTAGATGAACGCCTCCTCGTCACGCCGCCCATCGGCGTCGGCGTGCGGCAGCGAACGGGTGCGCTCGGACGCGGAGGAAGGGGGCAGCAGCAAGAGGTTCGAACGCAGGGGGGAGGAGGGGGAGGCAGCGGGCACGGGGGCGCAGGGCGCGCCTGACCCGTACACCGTGTTCACGGCGTCCACGCGGGGCGTGGCAGGGCGGGCGCCGCGGCCAGAGGGCCGAGGGCGCGGCGGCGACGGAGCCGCACGACGGGAAGGGGAAGCGGGAGGGGAGCAGGCGTCGGCAGCAGCAGCACTCAGACGGAGCGAAGGACCGACAGAGGGAGGGGGAGACAAAAAAAAATGAACAGGTGCGTGGTGGGACCAGGCCAGGGGGGGAGCAGGGGAAAAGGGCCGAGGAGAGCACGCACCGACAGGGTGGGTGTGGGCGGGCGGAGACAGGGAATGGACAGAGGTGGCGCTGGACAGGGGCACGCTGACAGGGCATGCGCATGGGTCAGAGGCCGAGGCTGAGGCCGAGGACGAAATCGAGAGAGGCGGCGTCCGTGGGTCCGCAGCCGTCCTCAGGGTTGATGGAGACCGCATCTGTGAGCTCGAAGCCGCACCCCAAGGAGTCGTCGACCAAATCCAGCCGCGGGGAGAATATCTGGCAACTCGTGAAGCAATAGACACAATAGTATGATCCTCACAATTTGTGATAGCCTGCAACCCAGGGTTCGAGGAGCACCCGTGGGCAGGACTTTGCGATCTGACCTTCTCCAGTGGCGGGAAGCACGCGGGAAGAGCCACGCACTCCCTGACAGAGACACCCTCGCAATATACTCGAAGAGCCTGAGGCGGCGGGCTCGAGGAGCACCCGCCGTCAGGACTTTGCGTTCTGAGCTCAGCAGGAAGACGAGACCCTTCCTCGCAACTTACTCGAAGAGCCTGAACAGCCGGGTTCGAGGAACACCCGCTGACAGGACTTTGCGTTCTGACCTCGGGCGGGGTCGGGCGTTCCCAGTCGCAATCATACATGTCATGCGAGTGGCTGACGTGCTGAGGGGCGGCCACGGCTGCCGATGGGTTCCCAGGCGTCGCCAGCAGAGTGCACGGGGAGAAGTCGAATGACACCAGATCGTCCGCGTCCGAGTCAGAGATCTGCAGTTCGGTGGTCATCGTCGGCACCAGGTCAGGGTCGCTGGCAGTGTCTGGGTCAACCTCGTCGGCACAGGACGATGTGGATGAAGACGATGAGGAGGACGAGGAAGAGGAAGACGGGCACCGATTTCGTAAAGCGGACGCTCCAATGTAGAGGTGCGTCGTCAGGCAGGGCACCCGTTGAGGCCATCCGCATGCTCCTCACTCCAGCCAGTGCAGCACTCAGAAACGGAGGAAAAGGAGGAGGAGGAGGGAGGAGCAGGGAGGAGGAGGAAAAGGAGGAACAGGGAGGAGGAGGAGGTACGAGGAGGATAGGGGGGAGGATGGAGGAAGACCCGATCGCTTGCCCACCCGATCTGGAGCCTGGCGCGGGCCGCCGCCTTCTGCCCCTCCAGCTGCACCGCCGCCCGCGCCTCCTCTAGCAACGCGACGTCCACCCCGCAGTCCTCCGCCGCCCGCACCGCGGCCTGTCGGGTGTTGCTTAATCGGAGGCGACCAATTAGGGGAATAATCCACGAAATAAACATAACGACTCGAAGGTCCGCGCGGATTTCTCGGAGCGGGGCGGGCCCCTGGGGGGGCCCTTTACAAGGCCCCCTTTAGGGCACACAAGGTGCACCATGTATCGCCGCCCCCCCCCCACTACGCAACGCCAGAGCCTGGAGTGGCTCGAGCCCTCCAGCAGCGAGCGCCTCACGCAGCGCGCCCGCCGCCTCCTCGCGCCGTTCCTCTGGAAGAGGAACAACACAGCATACACGTAGACTTTCGGAGGTCCGCGCGGATTTCTTGGATCGGCGTTGGCCCCCTCTGGCGTCGTCCGAGGCGCCGCGGGTCCAGCGCCAATCCCAGAGATCTTCGCGGAGCTCCGAAATCTTATGTGTTTGTGCCGCTTATCTTCTTCCTCCATGCCACACGTTCGCCCGAGAACCTCGTCGAACACATCGGCGGCCAGAGGCGGGGAAGCCGATGCGCATGACGAGGGGGAGGGGGAGGTGGAGGAGGTGGAGGAGAAGGAACAAGAGGAAGAGGATGTTTCTTCTTCAGGGAGGGGAGGAGGCCCCGCTCTGACGAGCAACGTAGGCCTGTATGGGGTGGGCAAGTCCCGCGGCGAACGCGAAAAACAGGAAATGCATTTCCCGACGCCCACCAACGCCAGTAGCTGAACATGTTTGAAAAAAACAGAAGACTCCCACCAATGCCGGTAGGTAAACATGTCACAATACCCCAAGGGACCCCACCAATGCCAGAAGGAAAGCAAGAGACACCCACCAGCGCCAGTACGAAAAATAAGGTTTGACATAGACCATAGCCTCACCAATGCCAGCAAGATAACATGTTTGAACTGCACAAAGAGGACTATCCCATCAATGCAGGTAGGTGATCCGGTTTGGCTACATCAAGAGACACCCACCAATGCCAGTAGGATGACATGTCTGAAATATAGAGAGCGGCGCCCATTCATGCCAGTAGGAGAACATGTTTGAAATATTTCAAAAGACTCCACCAATACCAATTAGTGATCACGATGAAGCAACTCACGAGACAACCGCTACTGCAGGGCACCGACCATGCTTGACTCCCACTACTGCCAGAAGGTGAACATGTTTGAACGAAATAAATCAGAAACGCCCACCCCTGCAGGCAAGTGGGCAAGTTTGATCTGAATATGGGGGAGACCCGCCAACGCAGACTTCATCACTTTTGCTCAGCCATCACTTCCATCTCAAAGAGCATCTCATCCCATTGAGAAGTGCTAGATGGGTCATGGCGCTCACGTAGATCGCAAGCTGGCAGTGCCCCCATCTCGGTAACAGTAGGACAAACCAACTGCGGAGGCTGTCGAGCACAGCAACAATTACCCCCGTGCGTCCGATAAGCTCGCCCTCGAGGACAACGCCAAATCGCCAAATAAACAATGATAAAAGCCGACCGTAATGTGCGCACGTACTCTGAATAGACTCGTAGACGTCGTCGGTCGGGTGCCCTGGAGGCCAGATGCTCGCACGCACCATCGTCGAAGGACCAGCAGAGATTGTGGCGCCCCAGTGACCACCTGCACAGGATGGTGAGCGGGAGCCGCCACCTGGTGATGTTCAGCGCTGCCAGCACGTGGGGGAAGAACCGCGTGGATGTCACTGCGAATCCGCTCCAACACTTCATGAACCTCAGTGCCACGGCCAGCCTGGCTATGAACAGCGACCGCACTACAGAAAGGAAAGGAACATCTCATGAAACCCCGTGTTGTGAAGATGTGCAGGTAGCTGCGAGACGACCAGATCAGCATCAGGAGCGGGGCCAGACTCTCCCATGAGCCACTGCAGCAACTCAATATGCCATGTCTCACGACTCGTCTGAACCTCATCGTGCGCGAATCTGCAATAGCCTTCGACAACTCCGTAGAATCCCGTGCCACGGAGAGGTTCCAGAAGACACTCCTCAGGCTCTCGGTCACAGTCTCGGCTTCCAGGCGAGACACCGCAGGCTCAGCAACGTCGTGCTCACCTGGCGCACCATCATCCGGGATACCCACCGCGGTGCCGGAAGGCCCGAGCTCTGGTAGGAAACCGTCCGCAGGTACCTCGTGTGCTTCGGGAGCCGCCTCTTCAATCTGCTTCGCTACGCAACACGGACAGTGAGCAGCAGCATCTTGATTGAACGGGAAAGGTGGAATGATAGGGAACTCCAGCGTGGCAACTGCTCCACTCCATCCGTGGCCACGTGAACCTGCACCTCTAGCAACAGGACAACGGTGAGCACGATCCGCATGAGAAAGTGCATGCTGCCGCGGGCGCTTATGATCAGGAGGTGCCCAAGAAGTGGTCCCATTGAGGCCATCACCATCACCACCACTCCGAAGACCAGCAAGCTATGGATCTTGACCACCGTGCCAAGGGTCCTCACGGCCACGACGGCGATCAGGCCGAGCATTACTATCCCCACCTCCACTACCATCATCACCTGGGGCGCCATGGTCGACACCATCGTCGAGACCAGTAGCAGGGACATCAACTCTAGGTGGCACCTTGAAGACGCACGTGCAGTGGGATGCACCGCGTGACCTCCGATGGCCATTCTCCACCACCACGAAACTGTTCATGGACTGCATCAAGTGCTGGATCAGATGACCAGCAGCGATGCTCTATGCAGCACAAGCTTGTTGACGTGGATCTTTGGCCTGAAGCTGCACCGACGCCCCTGCTACCAGCCGGTCAAACATCCTAGCAAGCCTCGCAGCAGATACCATGGCACGCGAGGGCAGAAGGACGCGGCCGCGCGGGAGGAGAAGAGGAGGGGGGCCGCACGCGCGGCCCCGTGGCCCCTGAGACCAGCAAGTGCCAGATCCCAAATGGCTCGAGGAGGAGGAAGAGGAGGAGGAGGAGGAGGAGGAGGAGGGAACCCTCGCGGAGCCCCGAAAGCCTATGCTTCTTCGGCCGCTTCTCTGCTCCGCTCCTCCCTCGCCAGCGCCTCCCTGGCCGCGTCCAGCTGGCCCCTTGGCAGGCCCGCCGCCTCGCCGGCCTCGATGGCCGGCCGCAGCCGCTGCGCGCTGCACGCGGCCCGCGCCTCCGCGAGCGCGAGCGCCGCGCTGGCCTGCTCAAGCTCGCCCGCCTCGAGCCGCACCTAGGACGAAGCCAGGTCTCTGAGATCCAGTGGTCCTGCAGGGCGCGTCGGGCGCCGCGGCCGTGTCAAAACGCTCTGAGAGCTTCCGAGAAATCACCGGGATGATTTATCCGAGTTCGAAAGTCCCGCCCAAGCACCTCCTCCGCGGCGCCCAGCGCTGCCTCAGGAGGGACTCGATGAATACACCACGTCGTTTGGTGGGCCACGGAGCTCCGTGTAAAGACGCCCCCCCGCTGCCCAGCCTGCGGGACGCTGAAGCGTCTATACTCACCGACTTCCTTCGCCGAACTCCTTGGCTCCCTGGCCGGCCAAGAGAGATGGTGTGCAAATTGAGACCCTCCGATGCCGTCAGCGCCGCCAGGTCGCCCGCCTGCACCGCCGCCGCGAGTTGCTGGCGCGCGGCGGTCTTCGCCGCCTCCTCCCGCAGGACGCGCCGGGCATCTGCCAGAGCCTCTGGACAGACATGCCCTGATACCAGGCGTCGCCCAGGGTTCGTTGTGACCATTACTTCGAGGCGAATCCAGTCATGGCGGCGCGGGCGAAGGCGAAAACGAAGCAAGTATGGCGGTATTGGTTCCTTTTCCTCCTCTGAACCTCGCTGCCCTGCTCGAGCACCGGCTCGCCGGCCTGGATGGCCGCCTCGAGCTGCGAGACGTCGCGGGACTGCACCGCGCTCTGCAACGCCTCCGTGGCCTCCATCGCGGCCAGCGCTTTCCGGGCTCGCGCGAGCAATTCGTCGCCGCTCGGTATGCCAGCCTCCTCAGCGTCTTTGATGGCGGTCCTCAGGCCTTCGGCCTGATTCGCCGTCATCGCCTTCTCGACCTCGCCGCGCGCCCACGCGAGCTGCTCCTGGCGGCAGGGCACAAAGCACTTCCAGCCCCAGCGGCGGGGGCGTTCCAGAGAGGCCTGGTGACACGCGGGCGGGCTGGAGCGGGGCGTCTACCTGTGGCTGCTGGAGCGACCCCCCCCCGCCCTCCTCCGCCTGCCATAATTCCGTGATGATTTCTCTGCACCATCCTGTGGTGTTGAGTCTTCGTTTTGAAGAGACAGCGTCCCGCGTCCTTTCTCCTCTTCCCTGTCTCTGCCTCCGCAAAATTTCGGCACACCCCTCACACGCCTTGTGGCCCCTTGGGGAACTAACTCCACCCAAGGCCCAAGTGGCAGGGTCCACATGCGTCCCCCCGCCCCATTTCGGTACATCCCTCACACGCTTCGTGGCCACATAGAACTCCTCCGAAGGCCACCATGGGAGGGTACACGTGCACCACCCCGCACCATCTCTGCATACCCCTCTCAAGTTTCGTGGCCCAACAAGGAACGCCACAGACGACGACTCTCACAACTGCGTCACTCACAACTGCATATGGTTGTGTCCTTCCTCTGGATACTTGATTTTGATTTGCTTCTGTTGTGAGAATTAGAACGGGCCACATGCTTCAACAGCTGGCCTCAGAACTCGGATGCCGCCACACACCGAGGATTGGTTAAAAGACATCTTGGCAAGGCTGGGGAGCCGCGGCACAAACGAGAAAGCGGTGCACTTGAAGGCCGAAAGACAGCCGACAGGACGGCATCCACAAGATCCCCGCGGCACAGCTTGCACGCGCGAATGTTCTAATTGTGATGGCTGCGTAGATCGTCTCGCTTTTATGGGATGACTGCCAAACTTTACTACCGTCGGCGCCCTCTGGAAATGCGCAAGCAGGGGGCACGAGTGCTCAGGGCCCCTCCAAGGCCACAGACCTGGCCCGAAAGCGACACGTATAACTACTCCCGAAGCGCTGGACCCCAGCGCACCTGGCGGAGTTCGGGCCGAAGCTCCTGCCAGCGCCTGTGGGTTGTACCTCCCCCCTCCCTCGAAGAGGACCTGGTAGGATCAGGGGGGGCGAGCCCCAGGCAGTGCCGAGGGTGCGTCACCACGAAGCAGGTCGCCACCTCCTGCAGGAAAAGGAAACTCCTGGACCCCCCAGAGCCCCCCAGGACCCCCAGAGACGCCCGACAACGTAGAAAACCTTGTCCATCCCGCCTCCTCGACCCTACTCCTCCTGGACCCTCCTCCTGAACCCTCCTCCTCGATCCTCCTCGACTTCTATCAGGAAGTGGTGACCCCCCTAGCGAGGTCCCCTTGGCACGGCCCGAACGCCTGTTCCTGGCGAAAACGAGGGATCGGTAGCTGCATGAGTATCTTTTCATCCTCTGAGAGCGCCTGCTCCCTTCCAAGAGTCCTCCTAAGATGGGATCTGAGCAAAAGGGTTCGGAGGATCGCGCCGCAGACGCCAGCGCGGAGAAAATCAGGCTCCACATCGAGCCGCATCAGCGATGCGGCACGATCCGGCGACACCGTCTACTCGGACCCCATTGGGAGGCTAAACTCCCGGAGCTCCTGCTTCAAGAACGCCCGCGCGTCGGCCAACTCCTGCTCCGACATCTGCAGGCGCTGCCCGTCCGCCACGGCGTCCTTCACCGCGCGCACGTCGCGTACGGCGATGCCCTCCTGGATCCTCGTGAGCACCCCCTCCCTCTGGAGCGCCTCCTCGAGCACCCTCTTGACCTCGGGGACGCGCTGTGAGGAGGCAACTTCTGAGAATCCTCGTAAGAACGATTATGGAATCTTCAACTCGATCAGTAGGCCATTAAGCCCGACCAGGCCAGATTAAGCCCAGGATTCAGCGAGATGAAACTGCGGGATTAAGCGGGGCTTTGCCGGATCAGGCTGGTGTCCAACCATGGATATACCAGCGCCGATGCTGATTTCACCTCCCAGGAGTTGCATCCTAAGCGCTGACCCAGCCCAGCGGTGCTGCAGTTCGGGCCGGCCAAGGCAAGGCCACGCCGCGAACCACGGCCAACCCGTGCGGTGACAGGGATTCAGCAAAATTGACACGGGGGGGGGGCTCGGCTCCGTATTTGGCTGCCAAGCCCCAGCCAGCCAGGAATCGGAGGAGGTTGGCTGAACCCCGAGAGCGCCGACCCTGGTTCCCAGCCATCTGATCTCGTTTTTTTCAATACGGGCCCCCTGGAAATCCCGACCCCTTTCCCAAGGCCGGCTTTTGATCTCGAGTCGTTGCTTTGACGGCCCCACGGCCCAGCGAGGGCCTCCAGAGGCCGCAAACGATTGACAAGTCTCGTCTTGATTTTGTCGATACGTTGGATGTACGGGTGCGCGCCGACCCCTGCTGCGTGCCCCCCCCCCCCCCCCCGAAGGCCTCCGTCAGGTCTTCCTCCGGCACGCCGACCTCCTGGCACAGCTGGATGGCCTCCCGCAGCTGCGGCACCGCGCGGCTCTGGATCGCCTCCTGGAGGGCCACCTCTGGGGGTGCAAGATGCTGATGCCGCTCCTCCCCAGGCCGCCTCTCCCGGGGCGCGTTCTGACCAGGATTTCGAAGCGAATCCCGCCGTGGCGGCGAGGGCTCTCCAGGAATCTTAAAACAAGGTTCAAAACAAATCCTGGGGACAGTTGAAAAATAGTTTCCCCCGGCGCTTCAAGGCACAAATGTGAAAAAGGAAGGCGGGGCAAGTCGGATTGCCTAGGCGACGTCCCCGCGACCACCCTGGCGCTCCGCGCTCTGGGACTACAGTGGATATTAACCCACAAGAAACCGAACCCTGGGATCCGCCGAGGTTTCTTGGGCATGCGCCCCGAATGCCCCAGCGCTCCCACGTCAATCATGAGTCCGCGCAAGCAGATGCGTCGCGCTTGAGGAACAGTCAGGGTGGCGGGCGAAGAGACCCAATGTACCCTGAACCCCTGCCAGTTCCTTAGCTTCACAAGCCTGACCCTCATCGATTACCAATTGACCTTCAAACACCTTATGGGGAAACCAGCGGTTATACTCGCCTTAAGCCTCAAGATGACACGGCTTATTGTGGCACAGTATGGTTGTCTTATTGCGCGCACGCGTGCACCATACGTACATACACGTCCCTGGGGGGCTGCGATCTGCGAAACTGTCACCACTTTCGAGCGCTGCTGGTGGGTCCAGCAGATCGAGGCACCGCGAAGATCTGAGGACCTCGCCGTCCCTGGGGGGCTGCGATCTGTGAAACTGTCGCCACTTTCGGGGGCTGTGGGTGGGTCCAGCGGAGTGAGCACCGCGCAGATCTGAGCGGGAACTCGCCGTCCCTGGGGGGGGCTGCGATCTGCGAAACTGTCACCACTTTCGAGCGCTGCTGGTGGGTCCAGCGGAGTGCTGCGATCTGCGAAACTGTCGCCACTTTCGAGGGCTGCTAGGGGGGCCAGCATAGCGATCTGCGAAACTGTCGCCACTTTCGAGGGCTGCTGGCGGGTCCAGCGGAATAAGGCACCGCGCAGATCTGAGCGGGATCACGCCGTCCCTGGGGTGGCTGCGATCTGCGAAACTGTCGCCACTTTCGAGGGCTGCTGGTGGGTCCAGCGGAGTGAGGCACCACGCAGATCTGAGCGGGACCTCGCAATCCTTGGGGGGCTGCGAGCCTCGCGAATGCCGCTCGCAGAAGTATATGCGCCCATGCCACGTCATCACCTCTGTATAACGTCTCCCAAGCTACTCATGCCCCGCATTGCACAGGGGTTTGGTACGTCGTCAGGGTAATTTTTAAGTTGGCGCTGGAGGCCCCCAAAAGCATTCGATATCGCCCCAAGAGGCCTCCAACAGTCCCCCAAGAGATCCGCGGAGGCCCTCGAGAGGCCTACGTAATTGAGGAGAAAAGACGAGGAGGAAAGAGGGAAAAGGACGCAGCGGGAAGGAGGGAAGGGGAGAGGAAGAAAGACGTGGAACGGGAGACACAGGATAACCACGAACAAGAAAGATATCAATAATAATGAACAGTGGGGGGTGGGGGAGACGGAAACGCATGAGGGAGGCGGAGAGAGGACGGCGCGAAGGAGAGACGAGGAGGAAGGGAGAAGGGAAATGGCGCAGCGGGGAGGAGGGAGGAGGGAGGAGATCATGATGTGGAACAGGAGGTCAAGGATAACCTGGAGCAAGAAGACGGATCGGGCAGCGAGGGAATAGGGGAAACCGGAAACGTATTCGGGGGCAGGCCAAATCATGGGACAGGAGGACACGCAGGGGGGGTAGGCCCTGAAAACATGGATTTGAGGGACTTCCCTTTTTGTTTCAGGCTGGGCCTCCCTCCATTTTATGCAGCAGGCTGCTGGGTGAGGGAGGCGGAGAGCTGAGGGCGTGAAGGAGTGGCGGGAAAGTGACGCAGCGGGGAGGAGGTAGCAGGAGAGGAAGGAGAGAGATGTGGAACGGGAGACGGAGGAGAGCCAAGAGCAGGAGAGAGAGAGAGAGAGAGAGAGCAAGGAGAACGGACAGCGAGGTATGGGGAAATCGAAGACGGACTCTGGGGCACGCCAAAGCCTGGGGCAGGAGGGAACGGACGGGGGGGGATCGAGATTGAAAAAACAATTGGGAGGGAACCTCCTTTTTTCAAGATGGCTCTGGAGGCCCCAAACAACCCCCAAGATCGCCCCACAAGGCCTTCAAGAGTCCCCCAAGAGTTCCGGGGAAGTCCCCGAGAGGCCGAAGTCATTGCGAAACCTAGAAAGGAAATGTCGGATTTTAGTGTTCTCGCATTTCCGCCACCGATGCCCTTCCGAGGCTTGCGCATGCCCCCAAGAGCCGCTCGGGACGCCTCTTGCTTTGAGCTCTCCTCGGGGCCTCTGAGGAGCTCTTGAGGGCCTCTCTGGGCCCTCTGCGGCGCTGGGTAATTACCTCTGGGGCGGCTCCTGGGAGCCCGTTGGGGCCTCGTCGGAGCGTCTTTGTGGCCTCGGAGATGCCCCTTCGGGCGTCATGGGAACCTCTTGTGGCCTTTGGGGGCCATTTCGCGCCGCTCGGGACGCCTCTTCGGGGCCTCTTGGAGCTTTCTGGGGGGGGCACGCGCAAGCCTCGGAAGCGTGTCGGAGGTGGAAGTGCGAGGAAACATAACATCTTTAATTTCCCATTGGTTTCTCTATGATTTTGGCCGCTTCCCAACAACTCTTGGAGGACTCTTGGAAGCCTCTTGGGGCGATCTTGAATGCTCCCGGGGGCTTCCGGATCCGTCGGGGGGCCCAGCTTGGACATCCTTGGAATACTCTTGGGCTATCTCCGGGGCGTCCTGGGCCGTCGTCGGGCCCTCCGGGGGCTCTCTTTGACGCCTGGGAGGGTGGTACCTATGATTTGCCGCCGATGGTAGCGAACTTGACGGAGCCATTGGAGGATGGGGCGGTGTTTGGATTTCTTGCATCTATACACGCATGTATATATACACGTGGATGCATACGTATACACTTGTATATGTGTGGGCACACAAACATAAACATATTATACATGCGTAAATGTATATACATGAAGGTGATATACATGTATACATATATGTATGTGGATATGTAAGATACACATAAACACATATGCTTATTCATACATACGCATATATATATGTATATATATGTATGTATGCAGGCATATACGTATGTGTATGTGTGTGTATGTATGTACAGATGTGCGTATATATAGATATATGTATAGGATAGGGGGCACTGTACGTAATCTGTTCGGCGGCGAATTAGTTGCGGCATTCAGATCGGCCACCCCCCAGAGGAGGTCATCATCTGTTCGCAACGTTTACAACTTAGATTTTCTTCCTTTGGCGCCTTCGCTTGGCGGCGCAGCTCCTCCTCCTGCTCCCGGAGGAGCTGCAGGCCCATCTCCAGCCTCGCGTGGAAGGAAGCCCTCGCGAAGAGCTTGGTGTTCCCGAAGAGGGCCTCCTCCACTGAGCACGGGCTGGCCGCCCTGGCATTCCTATAGGACTACCACGACATGTTCTCTGAACAAAAGATTGTTCTGATAACACAAACAATTGTAGAAGGTGCGGCCGGCGTTGTAGAACAAGACGGTTTCAGCCACAATTCTCCGAATGACATTTCGGGCAAACCACAACAAGTGTTCCGAACATTTTTCGGTGGGTCTATAGGCAAGCTAGGGCGCCTCGCCACTGCTTGACAGGGGGGGGGGGGGGCTGAAACGTGCCCACGGCGGCCCCCCCCTAAACGCAGGGGGCAGGATGAGGAAAGGGCAGAAAAATGAGGTAGGGAGGCGAGAGAAACGAAAGATCGACGAATCAGGGAACAAGGGGAGGAGGTGGGATGTTGGATTGCACGCGCGTTGAACCACCTGGCTGTCACGTAGAGGCGGCGCTGCAGCTAGCAGATCGCTTATGAAAAAAAAACATCTGCACGGGCGCCAGGTGAACAATTTTATAGCAGTCAGTCCCATCCCAAACCCAAGTTGATCTCCACCTCCATGGAACCCTCGAAAGTTAAATGGCGGGTGGGCCCGCTAAATGGCTGAGTGCGAAGTCCCGGGCCGTCTTACAGAACGCCGAGGCCTGTCATTCAACAGGAGCGCAGTAAAGTGCGCGTCGCCTGCTCGCAACCGTGGCCAGGAGGAAATGGACAGCGCGGGCGACCCTGGGCAGATGTTGGCGAAGCGCCCCAGAACGCCGAACCGAGGCAGAGATCAACGAGGCAAAATGTCTGACAGCGGGAGGGCACAGACAAACAAGACAAATGTCTGACACAGTGTCTGAGCGCAACACCTCCGCTCCTGTGCTCCTCGTCCTGACGGGCGGAGGGGCGCGTGCCTGGCGGGCGGCGCGGGGGGGGGAAGGCACGCGACGCGTTCTGACCTGAGCGGCAAAATTTGGCGACGAGTGACTCCTACAGCCTAATTCGAGATTCGAGGATCGTCGGCCACTCGACTCTCTCTCGAGGGTACCAGACGTATGTGGCACGGGCGGGCGGCGGCCGCGCGCGGGGGGCGCTCGCTGCTACTTCTTCTCTGCTGCGCCGCTGTCACTCCCAAGCTGGCCCCGGAATCCGACCTCTCTCTCTCTCTCTCTGACAGTAACTCGGGAGGGTCAGTGGCTAGTCGAGTTAATGCTAGTATGGGTGCGGCTGGCAAGCTGCGCGCAACTGCTGCCGTTGCTGCTCCAACCTCCGCCCCGCTCCTTATCTGACCGACCGCCCCTCCCGCAGAGCTGATCAGTCTCGCGCGTGATCAAAAATCCTAATGCCGAATTCGGGCTGCAACGTCCACAGGGCTATCCTGTTGGCGAGACGTAGCCTGCCACGCCCCCTGTCCTGCGCACGATTGGCTGCAATACGTTGGCGAATATCGTCGGCGAGCTCGACTGGCTGCCGGGGGAGGAGGGGGCAAGAGGGATGGGGGGCATGGGCAGAGGGGGCTCTGTCCTCTGGCTGCGGCATGTTGATGCCTTCGATGAAGGCTAAAACTTCTGTGTACTCTTGTTCGTCGGGAGCATCTAGCGGGCCTGGATCCCGCGGCGACGTCTCAGGGTCGAAATCGGTTCCTGGCTCAGGTGTAAATCTTGCGTCCGCCTATTCAGGTGATAAAGAACTGGCGCCGTTCGAAGTCCGCTCGGACCCGCCCTGCTCGGGGGAAGGCAAAATCTGGAGCCCAAGTCTTGTCTGCCCCGAGGGGTGGGTCCCAATATATGTAAAAAAGGCCCCAAGCGACCTACGGAACTCCTCCTCCTCCTCCTCCTCCTCCTCCTCCTCCTCCTCCTCCCGTGTCCACAGGCCACTCCCCGGCCTCGCGCGGCACGCGCGTGCGGTTGACTGCTCCCATGATGCCGTCCGCTAGCACCTGGCGCAACGCTGGTGGGCAGGTCATCTTCTTGACCGTGCGCCCCTCTTTCGGGGCCCTGTCGAACCCCGCGAGCACCTCGTGCGCCCTGCGACCGCGATGGCAACGTCCTCTTCCTGGTGTCTCGCAGGGCCTGTCGCGCAGCGCGCCTGCGCGCAGTGCGGGGGCGCGCGCAGGTGCCCGTGCTATTTGACCGTGCTCGCACTGATCAAAGTCGGCAGTAGTTGCCGCGGGGGAAGCCATCGCTGCTCTGCGCGAGGGGCAGAGGAAAGAGCTGACCGCCTCTGCGCGCCAACTCGCCGGCATGGGGTGCTCCATCCAACGACGGGCCCCCGCAATCAGGCGTGCTGCGAATAACTCGATCATGGCCCATAGAAGCTCGCTCCCTACCCTGAGCTGCCCCATCTGTCGTGGGGTCACGGCAAGGAGGCCCCGGGGGTCATCGTGGGAACGGAGCGGCGGGGGCCCCATGTTGGGGGCCCATCGGGTTGCTGGCCGCGTCTCGCATGGGCCCCCCAGCCCGACAGCACCATCCGTCGCGCGCGAACGCGTTCCTTCCAGACCTCCAAAGACTCGCGACGCATCATGTTACCGAGTACGGGGTTGATGGCGATGTCGATCGACATGAGACTGACCGAAAAGTCCGTGCTACATTCAATCCACTCGAGTGACGCCCGAATGCCCCCTGGCCGTCGTCGTCCACAGAAAGGTTGATACTGAAATATTATGACCGACGCGTGGCCGGTGGTAGTGTCTGCGCAGCCCTGCCTGTCCACTGTTCGGTAAGGAACACGCGCGTCGGACATCGCTCGCGCCGCGCTGGTGGGCGCGGGGCGAGCGGGCAGGCGTCGTCCTGATCGGTGGGAGGCGGCGGGGATAAGAGCGCAGCACATGCCTCTGATGTAAGGTACGGGTCACTCTCCAGCAATACCTGTCGCGCATATGCTTGTGGCACCAGCTCCGCCACGTCATTGGCAAGCTGCGTTGGAGGGGGCCGAGCGAGCGTGTTGCAGGTGCGACCACGCGTCGGCGTGGTATGCATACGTGGTTGGTATGCGTGGCCATGTGGGTGGTCTGGGGAGGGTTTTCGGAAGTGGTGGGCAAGGTTCTTCCTAGTCAGTATGTCGCCAAGTAGGCATCTAGGTGAGCCGACAAGTGGTCGACTGGATGCGGCCAAAAATTGAAATTCAACCGACGTACCGTGCATGTCCCGTCGCGCCCTGTAAATTCCCGAGCAATCACCACGAACTGTCGATGCACGCGCATAGTGCGCGTGCGCAGCGAACGATGCCGAGCAAAAAACTTCACCGCACCATGGGCATCCATGTGTGTCGCGGCTGTGAGCGTCGGCGGTTGCACGAGTAGTCCTCTCTGTCTGTATGCGCGCGGCGGGGCACTCCCGCTGCGTGCGCCTCAGAACGGAACTGAGACTCAGCGTGCTGCGCCAATGTGCATCTGCTCTGATACTGCGCGCACGCGTGCACACCGATGCGTATGATGCGCTTCCACGCTGGCTGGCTGCGTCGCGCGAGCGACTCCCAGGCCGCCAAGTCATCGGTTGGGAGTAGGAAGTCCTGACACTGTTTGACCGCTCGTCGCAGTCACGTGAAGTCCTGGATCCACTGGCCCAAGGTCGCGCGCTGTCGTGCCGGGACATCAGTAGCTGCACTCCATTCCGCTGTCGCAAGAGCAAAGGCCAGCGAAGGCCCAACATGGTGCAGGGACCCCAGGGGTCGGAGCCTAGCTGTGCATGGCGCGATGTCCGGGGCGGGCCTCTGCTGTTGGGCTAGTACCAGCCTGTCGCAAACATGGGAGGCCTCGTCCTGAAAGCGGACACGCGCTGCAGCGCGGCATATTTTCAGGATCTCTATAAATGCTCTAGCTTAGCCTCTGCTGTAGTAAGCGCAGGCCATGCATCTGCATTGCACAGTTGCCCTGGCATGGCGAGGCTATCCGCGAGCGCAACTCGATGACGCAGGAGAAGATCGTCGGTCGCAGAGACGCGCCGACGGAGAACTTGGAGGGAGGGCGCGGCGGAGGCTGCGCAATGTCGGATCTCGGGGTCACTGCTGCACCTGCGTCGAACACTGAACCCATATGCATGTAGTTTTGGACAAAAGGTTCGCTCACGTCCCGAGTGTGTCCGATGCTCCCGTGATGTGCCCGCCATGCCCGTGCCATGCTGCATGTCGCGCTTGCTTGGTGCCTTGTCCGCGCGACGTGATGGGCGCTGCTGTCTTGGGCGGCCCAACGTTCAACATGTGCCCGCGTCGTGCAAAGGCCTCCGACGCGAGTGCCAGGGAGCGACTCAACGCATCATATAGCTGTGCGGCAGGCATCATCAAGATTACTGTGCCATCGTCGGCGTATGAGATGCCGATCAGTGGGGCCTCTGCCTTGGGCTCTCCACTGGCTCCTGCCATGGGTCCTCCAAGGATCCTAGGCCTGTCTACCTGTGGCACAACGTACGGATCGCCCTCTTCAAGCATCTGTGCGCGCCCGTCCTGCATGCAGTCGGCCATCTGTATCGAATAATACGTCCGCGAGTGGTTGTCCTGGGACACAAAGAACAGTTTCGGCAGCGATGCCCGTCCAGGGCCTTCGTGCACGAACCAAGGTGCGTGGTAGCATTGTTTGACTTGGGTCACTGCATGGGGGTCAACGCCGGATCTGGATAGGGCCGCAGGGCGCTGTCGGAGTCGGTCGGCGAATTGATGCATGGCGGCTGGCGGGAGGCCGGCTGCTCGCACGACCGTTGCAGTGGCAAGGTCATCGAGGTCGGTTTCGCGATGGGCGCGCACAACGAGTTCCCGAATGGCCTTGTAAAAAGCTTGGACGGCGTCCACAAATGAAGCTCCCAACGACAGCTATCTGAGCTTGACCAGCGCTTCGGCCGCGCTCAACACCGGAGACGCGCGGGTGGTTCCTCTGCCTGGGAGTCCTCCGATCTATGTCTCGCCGGCCTCTGACGCCAGGAAGGGTAGCAGTCGGGCCCGTCGGCGCCGTCTGGAGGCCTTGCCGATCTGCGACAATGCCAAACTGGATCTTGAGCTCGCACCTTGTGCAGGGTCGGCTTGTCCAGATTCCATGAGGTCGCGAT